GCAAAAAGTAAAAATCTCAAAATTTCAGTTTTTTCTACATAAAATGGGCTACAGAGGTCATTAGGTGACAAATAATATTTTCTGAGCTACTGAATATATACTCTAGATGTCTAGCTAGTTGGCTAAGCTTAAATAAATTATTTGTAGTTGTGGCCCGAGAGTGGGTTTTCTACTAAGACAGACTCATTTACTTTTAGCAATTGCCACCCACCTCTATCATACTTTGTCAGTCAACTCTTCCTTGATTCCTCGTTTTGACCCCTATATTATTTGTTTGACCTCCATCATACATCTATTTTCATATTTCTATTATACTTCAAAAGCTAGTATGAGCGTCATCTTACATCTGACAACCTGGCTATTGTGGTCAGATGAATCATTTGACTCAAACATTTTTAATTAGTTTTACTCAGTAATGGTGTTCCAGAATTTTGACCATAGCTATTCTTCCCTATCTGGTCATGTACTTCTTTTTTATGACCATACCTTGTCTCTAACTAATACTACCTCTACTCAGTTCACTCTGGTCTACCACGATTCCTACTGCTGTAGTCTCTTAACATCAGTATGGGCATAGGTTTGGCTAACTGTAATAGTATTCTGTGGACTCTTATTACAATATGACAGGGCAAATATTGTTATCTATTATCTTGACCTAAAAAAATATGATAAAGGATCTCAGGATAGAGTAACCAAAATGAGACACCATCAAGATACTAGAATGATAGACTGAATAATTATTATCAAGATATCTTCAGGAATTATCAGATATTGTTGAAGTATAATGGCAAACACTTGAAAGATACCAGGATATACTGGATGTAGGGAGTCTGTATCAGGACACCCATGTAACACAGCACAACTTATGACAGAAGTCATTATACAACATCCAATTGTATCTCATGTCCTTGCTAACTATTTATGTCTTGAACATCTTGTGCATCTGATGTGCAGGACTGTCACGAACGTGGCTTAACGAGGAAAGGGTTTTCACGTGACGCATAGTTATGAGTCATAGGTATGTTATTGTTTCACACATATGACTCATTCGGGTCATATGATTTGTTATGTGTGGGATTTGTGATGCTTTCGCACATAGCTCAAATATGAGTCATGGGACATACTGTAACGATCCCCTTTCAGATAGTTAGTTCTTGGCGACGGGGAACGATACTTATCTTTTCTTTCCCTTTCTTTCTTTGTCTTACAATAGCTCTAGGCCTCTGCCTATGTTACCGATAGTATAAGACCTTTGTCTTCTATCAGAAACACCTATCGTAAGCTTTTTCTAACTCGTCTTCATAACGAGTGCTTCTTGGCGTAATGATAACGGTGCAATAAGGATTAAGATCGTAAAGGTGTTTTATATTCATTAAAGTAATATATAGGAAAAGTACTTAGAACAAAGTGTGAAGAACCTATCTTCCTCGGCCGCATCAGCCTCCTTATATAGTGTTCTTCCCGCCTTTAATCATGTGACCTAAAGTGGTCACATGTGCAAAACCAAATCAAAACAAACTAGTCATCTGACCAAAGTGATCACATGCTCAAAACCTATGACCTTATAGCGAGGTCATATGCAAAACTCATAAACCAATCATAACGCAATAAACAAGTCATATGACTCGACTGAGTCATATGCACGAAACCCATAATATCATAATGAGGTCATGTGCGAAACATAAATCATATGCACAAGGCTTGCCCATAAGGCACACTCGTAAGGCATACTCGTCAGGCACATGTCCCATGACTCATACTTGAGCCATGTGCGAAAGCATCACAAATCCCACACATAACTAATCATACAACCCAAATAGGTTATATGCGTGAAACAATAACATACCTGTGACTCATAACCATGTGTCATATGAAAACCCTTTCCTCGCTAAGCCACGTTCGTGACACATACATAGGGTGAATGTGCCTTGCGAGTGTACCTTGCGAGTATGCCTTGCGGGTAAGCCTTATGCATACGATTTATGTTTCGCACATATGACTCGGTCGAGTCATATGATTGGTTTATTGTGTTATGATTGATTTATGAGTTTTCGCACATGACCTCGCTATGAGGTCATGGGGTTTGAACATGTGACCATGTTGGTCACATGATTAGTTTGTTATTATTTTGTTTCGCACATGTGACCACTTTAGGTCACATGACTATGGGCGGAAGAACACTATATAAGAAGACCGATGCGGCCAAGGAGGATAGGTTCTTCACGCTTTGTTCTAAGTACTTATCCTACTTATGTAACGATCCCTCTTTGGATAGTTAGTGCTGGGCGACGGGGAACGATACTTCTCTTCCTGTCTTCTTCTTCCTTTGTCTTACGATAGCTCTAGGCCTCTGCCTACGTTACCGATAGTACAAGACCCTTGTCTTCTATCGGGACCGCCTATCGTAAGCTTTCTCTAACTCTTCTTCTTAAAGCGCCTTCCTTGGCGTAATGATAACATTGCAATAAAGATAAAGATTGTAAAGGTGTTTTATATTCGTTAAAGTAATAAGTAGGAAAAGTACTTAGAACAAAGCGTGAAGAAACTATCTTCCTCGGCCGTATCGGCCTCCTTATATAGTGTTCTTCCTGCCTTTAGTCATGTGACCTAAGGTGGTCACATGTGCGAAACTAAATCATAACGAACTAGTCATGTGACCAAAGTGATCACCTGCTCAAAACCCATGGCCTCATAGCGAGGTCATGTGCGAAACTCATAAACCAATCATAACGCAATAAACAAGTCATATGACTCGACTGAGTCATCTGCGCAAAACCCATGACATCATAATGAAGTCATGTGCGAAACATAAATCATATGCGCAAGGCTTACCCATAAGGCATACTCGTAAGGCATACTCGTCAGGCGCACGTCCTATGACTCATACTTGAGCTATGTGCGAAAGCATCACAAATCCCACACATAACTAATCATACAACCCAAATAGGTTATATGCGTGAAACAATAACATACCTGTGACTCATAACCATGTGTCACGTGAAAACTCTTTCCTCGCTAAGCCACGTTCATGACAACTTATTACTTTAACAAATATAAAACACCTTTACCATCTTTATCATTACTGCAACATTATTGTTACGCCAAGAAAGGTTCTTCACGAAGACGAGTTAGAGAAAGCTTACGATAGGCATTCCCGATAGAAGACAAAGGTCTTGTACTATCGGTAATGTAGGCAGAGGCCTAGAGCTATGGTAAGACCAAGAAAGAAAGAGACAGAAACGAGAAGTATCGGTTCCCGTCGCTAAGAACTAACTATCCAGAGAGGGATCCTTACAAGGACACACTAAATACAAGTAGTTATTTCTATTTTTATAGTTTATCAATTACTATCAGGATACTGAGAACATAACTGGTCTTTGTCCGAGCTGAGTTCAGATAAGGAATTGCTAAATGATCTAATTAGGATGTGTTATCAATCCAATGCTATGTCCTGATTTACAATTAGCATTTAAAGAGTCCTGTCTATCAGGAACAGATGCTCTGAATATGAGGATAAATTTTCACAAATGCAGAACTACAACTAGGAGCTGGTGCAGAAATCTAAAGGTTCAGCTGGAACTGAAAAGAGAGTTGAGAGGTGAGCAAAATTTGTTTCATTTGCTCTAAGGTGAAAATTTTGTTACACAACATATCACATATTTGCCTAGTGTGAATATTCTTCCTTGAGTAATTATTTCTACCTATCTATATTCTTTCATGCTAGAACAGTCGTAAATGGGCCCAACACAGTCAAACAGGACCTGAGTCTTTGAATCTTTCACTAATGTAAAGAGTATGTAGCAAGCATTATCACCAATTGTTATCAATAAAACCAATGATTTTTCTAATATATTTCCTCTTATTATGCTTTCTATTACTTTTATTTCACAGTCACTCACCTGTCAAATACCTACAACCTATTACATAAACATATTTTTAGATGTAGGTCTATTTTCTATTAATTGCCACCTAGGTATCCTTGCACAAACCCCTATTACCTCAACTTTTATGCTTTTGTTTAATGAAAATGTAATAGGTAAGGAATTAGATAATAATTAATAAGATCAACAAATTAGTGTTCTAGTTATGTATCTGTTAGGACCTTTGAAACTTAACGTCTATACCTTGCATCAGGAAAACTCCAATTCTAATAACGGGAGTTCAGCCCACAACTCGTTTGATCTAAAACGGTCAATGCTAAAGCAGTTCTAACTTCTAAGTACCGGTACTGACCTAAGGTGGCTAGTCAGTAATCATGAATTATCACTTAGTAGTCTGGATAGTGGAGTGTATTCTATTTCACTGAATTTTAGTATTTTTTCCAACCACCAGGTTGCCAGGTATTGACCTGGTGTTGGGGGGTGACCCATTTCTAGGTGCAAGATGTTCTCTGGTATTCACTCCCCTTCACTTTCGAACTCGCGGAATCTAAATGACGAATCGATTTGTGTTCGGTGGGTCGGGTGCCTCTGCCCGTGGTGTTAAGTCGGCCTGAGAGAGCTACAAGGAGCCATGGCGGCTCACCGGGCGTTGTCCCCCGAGATGGTGTTCTCCGTGCCCTGGAGACCCTGCTGCCTGAACCTGAGAGCGCCAAAGCTTAGCATCGAGAAAAGAGAATCATACATGAGCAATTTCGGGGATGACAGCGCCGCCGTGACTTTTCCGCGCTCAGGGAGGGGGAAGAATGTGGGCATTGACTTCAGATTTTGCTAGAAGATGAGGGGTACAAAGGACTTGCATTAACTGAGCCGGCCTGCGGGGCAGGGGATGGGGGGATATACACCGGATGCAGGTTGTTGAGGAGCTATCTCAAAAATGAGAACGAGATTACGGGTTGTGGGGTTTCGACCTCCGCTGCGTGAAGGCTGGGTGGGAGGAAGGGAAGGTGAGGGGGATGGATGGAGAGTGATTTGGGAGGAGGAGGCAGATAGGGGGGTTGAAGGCGTAGACAGCGAGGATTAGAGAGGTACCAAGCTTTAGTATCAATGGGACGTGGCAAATGGGTGTGGAGGATCATAATATTATGGAGTTTGTGGGGGGCTGCGAAAAACTTGCTGATCAGGGGCAAGTGATGGTAGATGGAAAGTAAAGATAACGCCTCAGCATATGTTTTCAACAGGGGTATTGTCCGCAGTTGCTTCTCCTAATTCTGTCTTCAGAGTCCTCCCGAATAATTCTAGTAGAACTTCAAAGCAGATCTTGGAAATAGCCGGATCGTATCTTCCCTTCGAAAGCTCATCACGAATGAATCTAGATCCAGAGTATCAATATCAGCCAATAATTAGGGGTCTGGGGTAACATACGCATGCTGAGCAAAAGCGAATTCATAGAAGCTGAAGAGACGTCCCTTTTCATGCAGTTCTTGGCGAATCGAGTCTCTCCCAGCAGGCGGAACATGGTTGTCCAATTTGCCAAATATCTATCTGTATCAGATCCTCATACGCACAATTGCCAACAGAGCTAGAGATAACCAACCATTGCCAATTCTCCCTTAATCTCACCAGCCCTCTTGAGTGAATCATCATTCCTTCTCAGGCCTAGGGTCGAGCTGTGAATATCTACCGTAACATCCCAATGAGCCACCCATCCCACCCACGAGAGGAATAAACCAAAGCGGGAAGAGCCATTAGCCCTACCAGTAGCAAAGTAGCAAACTGCACTCAAAACCCTTGTATCAAGCGCGCAACGAAAAGCCAAATGCCCACCGAGGCACATCCCCGTAGCACCAATTCGGCCTGCTCATTCATTGGTCACCTTCGAAAGAACTTCTGCTAGCAATGGAAAAGGAAAAAAACCATTACAAGTAGCCAACCCCACCAATAGATCCACCGTTAATTTTGCGTCCTCGTCATACGCCTCCACCAGCTTCTCGATCTTAAACTTATTACCATCGTCCGTCCCCTGGACGTCATACTCCAGCGGTTCCGGTCCGACAAATTCATGAAACGAGCTAGGTGCAGCACAAATATACCCATGTCCGGCAATCTGCCTAGCGAAGCGAGCGACGGGTCCGGTGAGCTGGTATATCTCGGAGAAGACCACAACGCCGGGGAACTTTGCGTGGGGGTAGTTCGGGATTGAAGGATGGAAGATGTATATCCTCATGGGGGTACCGGAAACGGTGGTTTGGACATCCTGGTGGGTCTCCTTGATGAGCATTTTGATGGAGAGGGTCGTTTTTCCGCTTTCCTTTTGTGGTGGGGTGGGGTGTTTGCACGGTGATAGGGAGGAAGTTGAGATGAGGGATGGGTGAATGGGTTAAATTTACTGGATAGCGGGGTGGCGAAGACCAAGCTATTCATGTGTCCGTGCCAAGGATGGGCACCTGTTTTGGAGTACCGGGAGTATCAGCCACGTGAAAAAAGTATTGAAACGAGGCCGCTTGGCACACCCGAGCGAAACATTACCCCGTAAATCAACAACCCTCTCAAACTCACGATACCGGTGACGGATTCAACTCAAAGCATGAAGACCTGTGATTCTACTCGCAAAGAACACATCTCAGTAATTGAGAAGCATGCATTAGGATGGTCCTATGCACAAATTGGTAAAGCCTTAGGGATCTCGAAAGCAATGGCATGGCATATCGTGAAGCATTGGCATGATGAAAACTGTGTTGACAACAAAAGAGACCAGGAAGGCCAAAGAAGCTCTCAGCCTAAGATAAGCGCCATCTCCGGCTTAAGGTTGCACAGGAATCAGATGCTACTCTTCGCAATCTTGCCAGTAACTCTGAACTTAATATTTCAGAGAGGACAATAGGGGACTTCCTTCAAGAAGAGAGGATTTATGTTCAAGTCTGTCACTGAAAGCCATGTTTAACACATGAAGGACAATATAAGCATCACTGCTTTGCACGTTGGTATTGTTCTAAGCCAATTGAGTGGTGGCAACACCATGTATATACTGATGAAGTCTATCTTCAAGTTGGACAGCTATTCTGGCGACCAACCACACGACGCCCTCCTGGCACAGCATTTGAGGAAAGATATTTGGCTCGTACCTTTGTAGGCCAACCAGTTACCGTTTAGTTCTTTGGCATATTTATATCACAAGCACACAGCCTACTTGTTCCCCTCCGGCAAAGACCTAAAGCAGAGAGGACCTCATCCCAAGATCGTTTTGGGTTCAATTCAATACAATATGTGGATGAGGTAATGGTACTACATATCATGCTAGTCTATCAGCAGATGGGAGGCCTGGATTCTGGTATAGAGACAATCGAAGATGTGGCTAGCTATCACACTTCAGCTTTTACTCCATGTTTTCAACTTCTTAATGGTATTAACAGAATGGATAGGCCAGCCCATTCACTGAATATGAATCCAATTGATAATGTATGGTCTGTGTAGAAGGATAGGTTCAGGAAGGTTATACGGAATCCTGCTCAACGCCCTCGTGGTGGTGATGAGATTATATGGTTTGCACAGGTGATATAAAAGGGGTTGCAGTGAGGTCAAATATATAAATAGATTAATAGTATGCTGAGGTGAATTGTGGCTTTAAGAAAGGCCCATGGGAGCCCTACCCGCTGATGATTCCACTATTGTAGCATACTTTTAAACTACTATAACGATTTGATATTTCATTATTTCTTACTGTTGAGATTTTGTCTTGTATTGTTGAACCTCCCCCCTGCATGAGTTGTGCCAAGCTGTCTCATTTCAATACTTTTTTCACGTGGCTGGTATCATACCCCCCTGACACAGATAAAGTCTATGTATGAGTACTAGGGTATCATGAATTCATGGTACAGAGCAGGGGTAGTGCTAATAGTATGCGAATCTCAGTAGTAGAGGATAGAGGATTATCGACCTGCTGATATAGTAGTAGCAGAAGTGGGACTGGGTGTCAGTAAGTATAAGGGCAAAACCCCAAAGAATTTCCTCTTTGGGAACCCACAGTGGTGATGAGTGGAGTGTTCTCCTATGTATAGAGGAAGTAGCTAGTAACCTTTTATCGAAAGAACAAGACATCTATATCCTCTTTCCAAAGAACACACTCCTACTGAATGAAGCAGTTGTGCTACCTCCATCAAGTGCCAAATGATTTTAGGGGGTACTTTGATACTAGGTTATATTATGAATTCATGGTACAGTTATGTCCAGAAAGTTTTCGCACCCCTGAGGTACAACCCTGCAATACCTCATCACTACAATAACCCTCCTTACCATAGCCTCTCCACATAATCTAAGAGTAAGAGAAGACCTGAAAAAGAAAATTTATACTCTGTATAAACATACAGATATGGGATATGATAAAATTTCTAAGTCTTTAGGTATATCCAAGTCAACTGTTCAGTCTGTGGTCAAAAGAGCTAAATCTAGAAGTGGAAACAATCACCATGCAAAAAGAAGTGGAAAATCAACCAAGATTACTGATATACAAAGAAAGATAGTGGATTCAGTTATTGATGCCAAGCCTCATTAAGCGTTATGCAATATTACCAAAAAAGTGAATATTGGTTTTGGTAAAACTACTATTGATAAGATCATATCAGAAGCTGATTTTAAGTTTCTGATACCTAGAAAAAACCCTTTTTGGAGAGAAGGACAAAAGGAGAAAAGAAGGGAGTTTGATAGGAGAAGGAGGAACTGGAAAGGGGCATAAAATTGGATTGTTTTTGTGGATGAAGAAACCATTGTTTATGATCCAAATCCAACAGCCAGAAAGGTCAGAGTTAGACCTGGTGAAGAGCTGAAAGAAAAAAACTTAAAGCCTAGCCTTAAGTCTAGAAGAACTAGCATTGGAGAATATGCTGCAATGATGAAGGGAGGAAAGACTGAGTATATACTTGTGAGAAAGAGGAAGGAGGAGGAAAGGACCAGTAAAAGAGACAGACTTGGCCTAAACTCTCACCAATATGCAACTGAAATCCACTAGCCTTACCTTATCCCTTTTATAGAGAGTCTGGATAGACCTTCTGACAATATCTATCTTGCTGCAAACAATGCTCCCTGGCATGGTGGTGACGAAAATCGAAAATTAGAAGCAGACTGCGGTTACAAAAAACTCCCTTGGCCATCCAACTCACCAGATCTCAATACTATTGAGAACGCATAGGTACTACTCAAAAGAGCCCTTACCAAGTGATTCTCCAGACTGGGAAGAGGGCCTCATAGTGTAGCTGAATAATTTGAGGCAGCAAAGGAAGAGTGGGATTTAATTCCCCAAGAGAGGTTGGATGGATAGATAGATAGGATACCTGAGAGAATGCAAGCTGTACAGGATACAAATGGATACCCAGGCCATACAAGATGGTAATAATGTTTTTTTATTGTCTACTAGCAATACTATCATGTTTTCTTTAATTGAATTCTTTACATTTTTTTGGAAATTTTTATGGTTGACGGTTGTGGATGTACGGTTGCTATGCTAGGGTATGAAAACTTTCCGGACACAATTATACAATGTGCTAGTAATATCTCAGTAGATATAGTACATTTCAAATAGAATATTATAAGAATAATGATTTCTCTTTGGACCAGGAAGATCAATTAAGCAAAACCATGATAAGGAATATTGATAAATTCATAAAACTGAACACTTCTAAAGGCTAGTTGTAGTGTGGTAAGTAACTCCTTAAATCCAGATTGTATTTTATATACTCTAAGATCTATTGATTGATACTGTAACGAGACTCCACGGAGTACTATTACATTTAACCAAACCTATACCCATACTGGTATCAAGAGATTACCATGGTAGGAATGATAGTAGACTAGAATCTACTGGCTGGAGGTACTATTGATTAGGTACATCAGTTGGGCATGCTATAGCATACTAAGAAGTATACGGGTACTAGTATGGAGCGGTAGTTGCCCTACTCAGTAGGGTAACCTAAGTAGTCAATTTGGGAGTTACCCTGAATTGCTCGATGGTGAGTCCGGGTAGAGTTACCCTACCTTCAGACTAAAGTTACCCTGCCTTAAGCTATGGGTTACTCTGTTATGGAGCCAAGTTACACTATCTTGAAAGTAACTTGTTACGTAGGACTTCGGGGAAAGTTAGTACCTTGTTTGTCATGTGAAACTTCATAGGATGTTTGAATTTCAGATTGTGTGGATAACTCCCGCGCAACCAGTTGAGCTCCGAACAAGTTGTAACTTGAAGTTATGGTGGCTAACACCTCCCTCCAACCCTGTTATAAGTTCCTGGTGTCATGGACTACAGCCTGGAGAGTTACTGTAAGTCTAGTAAATGTCTTCAGGTGGAGATGCTCCTGTATCACTGTATATGTTCCCGCCGTCCGTCTGACCGGAGCCTGTCTACAGAATATATGAGGGGGTAGAGGTGAACCTGGAGAATGGTCTCCAGGTGGCTTTGTGTAAAATGGACTAGAAATGACAGAGTAATACTAGTTTGAAGTCTAAGGTAGTATGTGAGGTTACCAAAGGCTAGTAGGTGAGGTAACCGAAGTCCGTTGCCCCGAAAGTGTAATAGTACTTGAGAATCGTTAGGGACTCTGAGACACTAGTCTAAGGTCATGATAAGACCTATTTCTAGGAGGGTTGACTATGGGTAGCGCCTATTGGTAGTCAACATCCGAAAGGGTCTATCGGGGGAGCTACATAGCCATCATCCAGAATAATATGGAATAAAGTAGAACTGGATAGATGTTCAGGGATGCAAATACTTGTACATGACTAATTGTATATGAGTAGAGAGTTCCAAAGTTGGTATCGCATCTACTTGGTCATGGCAGCTCACCACTGACATGTCCACAATATGAAGAGTTTTTACTCCTGCGGTTGCATATTAAATGTAGCGGTTAAAATACTTCTATTGGGTGGATGTCAGCAAACCACAAGATCAGTCTAGTTCACTATAGGAGATCTTTGGTCCAACCCGTGGAGGTTAGCTAGACAGCTCAAGGGAGTTGGGTTCTCGCGAATACAGAGTACTGATGGGGAGCAACTGGCAGTATATGAAATCTACTTAAGTATATGTGAGTTTTCCTCTACTCTGGCAATCAACTACCTCTCAAGATCAGGACTTAATTGAGTAAATGCTGTAGATTAACGATATTAAGTTTTACCATTTTGTTTCTTCAAAACTCTACTATTGAGACTTTTGACATTTATTATATTTGTTCACTTTTGCTGAAGAATTCATTTCGGTACGGTTGCAACCTTGGGATCCATCTTCTCTGAGAGAGCCCCCATTACAGATACAAACCTCTGTTAAAGAGTTTGTACAATTTTTTGCAAT